GTCGTCGTCGTCGTCGCCATCGTTGTCATCATCGTCATCATCATCATCATCGTCATCAGCATCATCACCATCATCATCATCATAATCACCTTTATCGTCATCGTCCATCACCATTATCGCCATCGTCATCGTCATCGTGAACAGCAGTATAACCATCGTCATCACCATCATCATGATGAAGCCTTCCTCATCGCAGAACTCCCCCTCCTCCTCACCCTCCTCAGTGGGAGGAGTAAGACGTGAGATGGATAGGTAATGTTCTCTTCCTCCTCACCCATGTCAGTGGGAGGGGCACGAAACCATGTAAATAGTGTCGGTTTCCGATACCCTCCTCGCTCAGACGGGGCCGCCCCGGAGAGGTGGTAGGGGCACGAAACAGGCGGGGCCTCCCTGGAGGGATGGGAGGGTTTCGAAACCATGTAAACAGCATGGGTTTCCGATACCCTCCTCGCTCAGGCGGGGCTTCCCTGGAGAGGCGGGAAGGGCACGAAACCATGTAAATAGTATGGGTTTCCGATGCCCTCCTCGCTCAGGCGGGGTCTCCCTGGAGGGATGGGAGGGGCATGAAACAATGTAAATAATATGGGCTTCCGGTGCCCTCCTCGCTTAGGCGTGGCCTCCTTGGAGGGGTGGGAGGAGCGCGAAACCATGTAAACAGTATGGGTTTCCGATACCCTCCTCGCTCAGGCGGGGCCTCCCTGGAGGGGCGGGAGGGGCGCTGGGAGGCGGGAGGCGGGAGGGAGAAGGAGAGGATGTTCTGGGAAAACAAGACCCCCACTCAGGATGTGGGGAACAACTCGATTGCAGCCCAATCGATTGCAGTCCAATCGATAACAAATTAATGCATTGCAAGAACACGGCGACAAACATTACCAGTATCATTATCACCACCACCCCTTCCGCGCACAATATGTTTCGGATCGAGGCGGCCCGTCATGGGGCCTCCCCTGTGTCCGTGCTGCTCCAACCACGCGTGCACGGAACTTCGCAGCTTGGAGCTGCGGCAACGCTGGGCCGCGGAGGAGGGCTTCAAGTGGACGTGGCACACAGACGGCCAGGCGTACTGGAGGCCATGGCTTTGAAACGCAACGCCTTTCCAGTGCTGCGTTTGGGGCCACGAAGGACAGCCAACTGTTTCACCCAACGTTGATTCACTCACAATGTGCTGTGTCATTTGGGCTGTTATACCCGGTGGTGTTCCCGCTGTTTCGATGTGATGACGGTGCAGACTGCCAACGGCCAGACAAAAAAGGTGAGGCGCCGAACACGGCATTGGTGCGGTTTCCTAGAAGAGCCTGTACCCGGCGACGCCAGGGCGTACAAGAAACGTCTCGATGCTGATTTCAGTCATCGGGATTTTTGGCTGTTGTCAAAGAGTTTCGGCGTTTCCGTTCTGTGGCTGCGGAAGTGGCGGTACCGCCTGTTGGTTCACCGTTCCTCCTTCATGGGCGAGGCTACCATCTTCCGCATGATGCACGGCCCAGGCGTGCTCGCGCGGGCAAGGACGAACTTGAGTTCCACTTGGGTGCGGCAGCTTTTGTGGAAGCGATGCCAGAAGGGGGCACCCGAGAAATTTGACGAGTTGGCAAAAGTTTTGCTGTGTCTCTCCGTTGAGGCCCTGGTGCAGAAGAGTTGGCGCTGGTACGGGCCGTCGATGTTCCGCCGGCGTTTGGAGCAGGTCCGTTTGTCTGGAGACCGCGCAGACATTCTTGCCATCGATGGCAACGCCAAGTTGCACCGCCGAACGTGCGGCATGCCTTTCTCTCACGTGGTCTACTGCGCCGAGCTGGACAAATACCTTTTGCGAGGGTGCCCAGACCGTCCGCATGGGAAGGGGACGATGTGCTGCAAGCATGCCAAGGCGTTAGTGGCTGACCCGCCGGCGCCGCACGAGACTGTATGCAACCACCGGTTGCGCCGAGCCCTGCATGGGCCAGATGATTGGTCCCCCCTGGAGATGCAGCTGAAAGGCTTTGCGCGTCGCTGGCAGCCCGCGTGCGCTGTCTCTCCAGATGCGCTGGCTTCGTATTTCGGCACTGGGGCTGACGCGCGCATCCAAGCGCGCCGGGCTCGCCGCATGGCGCTTCGAAAGCAGGGCGCGGCTGGCAAGAAAGGGCGCAAAGAAAAGAGCTTCATGGCATCCTGGAGCTCGAACGGGCCACGCGCCGCTTCCGAGTGTTCCACGCACAAGGAGACGGACGCGCACATCGTTGCAGCCGCCCGCGCAGCGGGCTTCCTGACGGCCGTATCCGCGTCTGGCATTCTGGCGCACGTGCAAGAGCTCATGTGCGCTGAGCCCCTCAGCCAGCCGCACCGATTCCTCGCCATAGTGGCGGCCCACATGCCCGACCTCAAGATTGTCGTCCACGACGACGCGTGCCACCTGCGCCTCATGGCGGAGAAGAACGGGGAGGGCACCGCCGTGGCTGCGCGGTTGGCAACCGAGGCGTCTTACATTGTCGACGATTACCATTCCAGCGGGCACGTGGGCAAGTGGTGCAGCGAACATTGCCTGCCGGGGCTGGAGGCCAACAGCCTTGTTGAGCAAGTTCCCCACAAACATCTGCGAAATCATGAACAGCGAGTTGTCCCCGCTGGGCCACGTGATCCACCACGTGGGCCGGTGGGCCTCCCAGTTCTACGTGCAAGAGATGGTGGACGCGTTGAACATGAAGACGCTGGGGCGCATGAGGGGCGCCCAGGCCACTGCCGCCAGGAAGGTAGCTCGGGCGAGCGAGGCCGCCTCGGCCTCGGCCGAGAAGAAGCCGAGACAGCTCTGATGCACGGGGCCTCTCGCGGCCTCTCCTTCCTGCCAACGTTCGGATCATGGGTCGGGCGAGGGGCGCGGGGTGCGACGGGGGATGGGATGGGGCGAGGGGCGAAAATGCATTCGAAAGCTCCTGGGGCTTCCTCAGAGCTTCGCGGCCCTGTCTTGGAGATTTCTGGAGGCCGTGGGAGTTTCGCTGCGCGCGTCGTGCTTTCCGTCGCCCTGCAATAGCCAGGGCCTCGGGCGCGGTTTTGGAGCGTGCAGCGGGGTTATCCGCCCCCCCGCAGGTTTTGGGAATTTGGCCGAACGTGAAAAAAAGCGTGGCAGACGGCCCATGACGGCCCATCGATCTGACGCGGCGGGCGCGAGGAGGTCGGGCCGCCGCTTTTGCACCCGCGCGAAGATGTCGATTCGAAGGCGAGACAAAGGCCCCAGCTTCGCTGCCCCGCTGCGAGGTTCCATCTGCCAGCCTCGCACGCAGCGCCCTGGCTCAAAGGTCCCCCTTCGTGGGATTGCCGCAGCGAGTCCTGCAGGTCATACTCGCGACGCGACCGCGCCGTCGCGCACTGCGCGGCCATGGCAGGGAAGAACACGGAGAGTCTGTCCCAGAAGCAGGGCGATGGCTCGCGTCGCCAGTGAGTTCAGCCCGGCGGAGCACATCCCCCCTAAGGTGCGCGAGTTCTTGGAGCCCATCGTTAACACAACGTGCCAAGGGTATTACACGAGCGCCTTGATGGTTGGAGGCTCCATGGCGGCTCTTACAAATGGCGCCGCCGTCAAGATATGGAGCCAGAAGCCCACTCCATTAATTGCACCAGTGTTCCAGATAGGGAACGCACGGGCGGGGAAGAGCCAGCTTTTCAGTGTGCGCGAGGAGATCTTCGACACGTGCGACGACGTCATTGGCGAGCACGTCGACTCGCTCCTCGACGACGGCCCCCCCGTGACCGTGAAGAGCATCTGTCTCCAAAGCTTCAGTTTCACGGAATTCTTTTACCGGTGCTCCAGCGGCTTTCCCCTCGTTGATTTTTCGGAGGGCGACGGGCGGGTTGCCGAGTTCAGGCAATCAGATGTGTGGGGCGGCAGGGCGTTCAATCTAGACGAGGCGTACGAGTTCTGGGACGGCCTCAGCCTCCTCGCTACCGGCCGCGGAGGAGGAGGTGGAGGAGGAGGAGAGAAGGATCGGGCGCCGACGGTCCACGCGTCCACCTTGAACACTTTGATCGCGAGTGGCAAGACGAGACGGGCAACTCGCACAAGCGGGACCTTTGGCGAGTCTCGCGGCAAACGCGTCTCGGTGTCTCTGCTCGGCAACGGACATCCTGGGAAATTCATAGCCATGGACAGGGGGATCGTGGGTAACCACACGGCGTGCACTAAGGAGCGCTTCGTCGCCTGCATTGACCAGGCCGCTGCGCGCCACGCTGCGCTGCCCGCGGGGAGTCGCCTCCCGCGCGGCGTCTCCGCGTGGGCGTGGCTGCCGCTCGCCCCCCAGCAGGCGCAGACGTTCAACTGGGAGACATACCTTGACGCCCCTGAGGCCGCGGCCCAGTATTTGGAGAGGGACACCGAGACGGGCGAGGAGGCGTCGGCAGCAAATTCCCAGGCTCGCAGTTTCGTGGGCCCGGCTGGCGGATACAAGGTGGAGTTCCCAGATGGCGAGGAGTCCCGGTTGCGATACCTGCGGGTCACCCTGTCCGACGTAGGCGACGCGCAGTTGCGGACCGAGTTCCGAATTTCTAACAGGGGGGGCCTGCCGGACCCCACGGGCCACATCCAAGCGGGGGCCAGGAGGCTTGCAGAGCTTTTCGCCAAGAAGCCGCAGGCGATCTTGCCGTTCGAGGAGGAGGCGCGCAATATCATGACGGGCAACCAAGTGGCACAGAGCATCCGCGCGCAGTTGCGAGGAGATCAGAGAGCCAAAAACGTTCAACCCCAGCTGCGAGTGCAACCTGGGGTGCGGGTTTCTCCTTGCCACGAGACCATCACCCTGGGTTGCGCTCATTTCGGTTTTCGACAACCGTCATGCGTGGTTGCGCATCTTTCGTTCGTTGTTTTTCGACGTAGGAAGGAACCTTCACCCTTGGTTGCACGTGTAATTTTTCAGGTGGTTCACCTGGGGTTGCACATCTAGGTTTCCCCAGGAACCTTCACCCCAGGTTGCGCACGCATCTGGGGTTGCACGTTTTTCGCCACCCGAGGAGACGACGATCCTACTTTGGCTGCGCTGGAGGCCAACGCCGCGGGCCAGCAGGGCGTTCAGGCTGCTCTCGTTGCCGTGCTGGATTACTCTGGAGGCGGGGGCACCTTGGACGCGGCCTCGGGGTTGCCGCTCATCACCACCCAGCACGTCCAGTGCGCCAGGCGCATGCTCGACATCAGCATTGCCATCCGGACCATATGGCGAGCTGCTCTGGACGAAGACGGTGCACCTGGCTTCTTTGCAAAGGCAGAGCCGACGCCCCATCCGCATCAACATATATACCGGAGAAAAGCCCAATCCTATTGTTTGGGGGCTATGGGGCTATGAGGGTATGGGGCTAGATGGGCTATATGGTCTATTGGGCTGCTGGGCTAGAGGTCTATAGGGCTCTTGGGCTAGAGTGCTATAGGGCTGTGGGGCCATAGGGCTATAGGGCTATTGTGCTATAGGGCTATTGGGCTATAGGGCTATTATGCTATAGGGCTATCTATACAAGGTTATATGCGCTATTTGGGCCATTGGGCTAAAGGGCACTATAGGGCTACAGGACTATAATGCTATAGTGCTAAAGGGCTATAGGGCTATAGGGTTAAAGGGCTATAGGGCAAGAGGGCAAGAGGGCAAGAGGGCTATAGGTCTATAGGGCACTATAGGAATATCAGGCGATCGAACTATATGGTGATTGTGCTATGGGGCTATAAGGTTCCTGGGCACCCAGGCACCCTGGCCTGGCCACCGAAATCGGCGACGACGCACCCGGGCATCGGGACACCCGGGCACCCGGCCCCCTGCCACCGTAATCGGCGCCCCACCTCACCTAACCATATGAATCCGCTAGGACCCCTACAGAGGCAAGCTCTGATTGGGGAATGCGGAATGGTCGTGCGCGGGCCCCGGCTTGGGTCAGTGTGTTGGGGTGAGGGTGTGGGTGAAAGGAGCGGGTTTCGGGTGTTTGGGTTAGGGTGTCAGGATTAGTGCGTTACGGTGTCTGAGTTAGGTTCATGGGGCTTTGGATTCAGGGTTAGGGTGTTAGTGAGAGGGTGTGAGGGTGTAAGGGTTAGGGTGTTTGGGTTTCGGGCTTATGGTTCGGTCTAGGGTGTTCGTGGTTGGGCTAAAGTGTTATGGCCAGGGTGCTAGGTTTGGGACTGGGATGTTCGGGCTCGGGTGTTGTGTTCAGGTGAGGGTGTGAGGCTTAGGGTGTTCGACTTAGGGGGTGTGGATGTTCGGTTAGAGTCAGGGTGTGAGGAAACGTGTGGTAGGGTTCGGGCGTTGGGGCCAGGGTGCTATGGCGAGAGCAAGGGTGTTCGGGTTAGGGGGTAAGGGGTAAGGAGTTAGGGTTCGAGTGTCAGGGTTCGGGTGAGGGCGTCACGGTTGGTGTATTAAGGTTTGGGCCAGGGTGCGTTAGAACTTGAATGATATGACTGGGACCATGGATACGGTGCTCGGGCTTTTTTCGGGTTCGCATTAGGGTACGGTTCGGGTGTTCGCGTCAGGGTGTTAGGGTAACGGTGTTTTGATTGTGGTGCGGGGGTGAAGGTGGTGGGGTTATGGTGAAAAGCTAAGGATGTTAGGTTTCGAGCGTTACGGTTAGGGCTAGCGCGCTCGGGTTTAGGCGGGGTCAGGGTTCAGTTTCGGGGGGGGGGGTCTTAGGGTTAAGGTGTTAGGGTTAGTGTGTTGGGGTTATGGTATGGTGCTAGCGTCAGCGCGTTAGGGGCACGGTTAGTGATAGGGTTACTGTGCCAGGGTTAGGGTTTGAGGGGTTCGGCGTTATGGGGCCAGGGTGCGTGCGTCAGGATGAGGGTGTTAGGGTTCGGGTCAGGGTGTCAGGGTTACGGGGGTTAGGGTGGGGGTCTTAGGATTCGGGTGTTGGAGGAGGAGGTGTTAGGCCAGGTCGACCCCCTCCCTCCTTGAATTGCGCGCCCGCAGGCGACGCTGCCGACGGCGAGAGCGACGGCGACAACGAGCCAGGGCGTTTGGCGCGCCCTGTTCGGGGTCACTATCACCCTCATGCGTACGCCGCGCCGCTCTCCACGCAGGTGCCAGCTTGCCCGGCGGCGCCCCAGGGCCCGGTTCCCGCTGGCGGCCTGGTGGCTGACGTTGCGCGCCCTGCCGCGCGGGCTGGCGGCGGCAATGTCGACGTCTGGCAGCCCGCCAGTCCGGGCGCCGCGGAGAGCGATCTGGCCGGTGCCCCCCCGACAGGAGGCGAGGCGCCGGGCTCGGGCGAGCGCGCGCTGACGTTCGCGGACTTGGCGGGCGAGGCGCAATTCGACAATCAGGGCCTTGGCGAAGAGGGGGCCATGGTTTTCACGAAGGCAGCTTTCAAGGACAGAGAGCTCATCCGTCGTGTGCTCCTGACCGGGAAAAGCCAGATTTCCGTGAACGCCTGCGTCGACCTCTACAGCGTGGCCGTGTCGGACCAAGAGGCCCCCGCAAAGCGGAAGAGGCGAGCGCGCCCGTCCAAGCCCGAAGCGGTGGCGGTGCTTAAGGCGGCCTTCGAGCAGTTCCCGCGCCTGGGGGAGTGCCAGGAGCAGAACGGCGAGGTGTTTCTCAAGGGCTGGCCCGACTCAGAACTTGGGAGGACGCTCTTCCACAGCGAGCTCATGCGCTGCTGCCGCGTGTCACTAAGGCAGCTGTCACAGAAGCGCGCCCAGTTCCACGAGGGGCGCCCGCAGCTCGCTGACGCGACGCCGAGCCGCGCGGCCGGCCCCCCCGCGCAGCCCCCGCCTTCGCGCGGCGCCCGGGCGAGTGACGCCGGCGCTGCCCCTGACGCCCAGTGCTTCTGGCGCCGCGGAGCCGGTCGCGATGGGCGCTTCGCAGGGCTTGCGCCCGCCAGCTCCGAGCACGCCGCCTGGCGGCTTGCATTAGGCGGGGGGGGTGGGGACAGGCGGAGGGGCCAAGCAGAGGGGGGATGGAGCGTCGAGCCTCATCAGGCTTAGTAGGATGAGTCGGAAAACCTCTATAAGATCAGTTTTGCTTTGCCCGCATGCGCCCGCTCATACGTATTTTAAGCAGGAGCACTAGAGCTCGAGTTCGAGCGCGCTAGATCAGGCGGAGTTGGAGACTCCAGGGCTGGATCTGTCCAGCTCGCCCACACCTGAGTAGCATTTAGCTTCAGATCTGCAGAATTACGTGCATGCTGCGCACGTTTTGCAACGCGTGCTTTGGCATATGTCGCGCATAAATCATGTTTGAACTAGTCCACCCAGGCACTTCTATGATTAAATAATGCCCTTCCCCTGGGGAACGGCCCCCGCCGCCCGTCGATGATGCCCCCCGCACTTTAGGGCCCCGCCCACTTTAGGGCCCCGCCCGCCAGTCAATGATGCCCCCCCCACTTTAGGGCCCCGCCCGATCCGCCCGTTAAAGTCAGCCCGCCCGATTCGCCCGACCGTCCTTTAGGGTCCGCCCGCCTGTCCCGACTCGCCCGCTCATAGGCGCGTAGATTTCGAGGAGGAAAACGACGACGAGGAAGGTGATGACGATGAGTTGGAGGAGGAGGAGGAGGAGGAGGAGGAGGAGGAGGAGGAGGAGGAGGAGGGGGAGGGGGAGGAGGAGGAGGAGGAGGAGGAGGAGGAGGAAGGGGAGGAGGAGGAGGTGCTTGCGGCAAGTCCCGCCGCCGTGTCACCCTAGCATTCTTGATTGCGAGTGTGCGAGGGGGCACGGGAGGCCGTCACGCGTGACACCTCGGGCCTTGTGTACTCCGTGGCGTCTTGGCAGCGTCCCGCGGGGGGGAACTTCGGAAGCTCCTTGGGGCCCCCTGGCGCGGCCGTCTGGCGTTTTCGGAGTCCGTCTTGGTGGGTTTTCTGGGTCGTCTTGAGGCTCTCTGGAGGCCTTCAGGGCCGTCTGAGAACCTCCTTGGGCCGAGTTGGTGTCCTTTTGGGTCCCTCCCTGGCCATCTTGGAGCCCCCTTGGGTCGTCTTGGATCCTTCTCTGTGTGGGCCGTCTTGGGGCCAGTGCCGGTGCCGGTGCCAGCGGTGCTGGTGTCGACACCCAGCACCGCGCACTGGCACCGGCACCGGCACCGGCCCCAGCCACGGGCCACTGGCCACCGGCACCGGCCACAAGCACCGGCCACCGGCACCGGCACCGGCACCGGCACTGGCACTGGCCACCGGCCACCGGCCACTCGCCACCGGCACCAATACTGGCACCAGCACCGGCTACCGGCCACAGGCACCAGCCACCGGCACCGGCACCGCCACCGGCACCGGCACCGGCACCGGCACCGGCACCGGCACCGGCACCGGCACCGGCACCGGCACCGGCACCGGCACCGGCACCGGCACCGGCACCGGCACCGGCACCGGCACCGGCACCGGCACCGGCACCGGCACCGGCACCGGCACCGGCACCGGCACCGGCACCGGCACCGGCACCGGCACCGGCACCGGCACCGGCACCGGCACCGGCACCGGCACCGGCACCGGCACCGGCACCGGCAATCGTTCATGCCTTTGCATTCGAAGCTCCAGGCCTGCGCGAACTTCAGGCAGTGTCCGAAAATTTCGAGGTCAAACCGCTCCCTCCTGGAGCCGTAGCAATCCCGTCCAGATTCGTGTACACCGCTCCTGAAGGGGAGCCAAAAGCTCGTCTGGTCGTCCAGGGATGTTTCGAGCCAGGGAAAGATGATCACGTAGTGAACATTCCGACTCTGCATTCACATTCTGTGCGCTTCCTCCTCTGGTTGGCCGCGTACCAGGGGCGGGCGCCAGGAGCGCGGGATGTCAGGAAGGCGTTTCTTCGAGCCGACGCTTCTGCAGACCCCAACTGGGAAGACAAGCCAGTTTTCGTCGCTCCTCCGGCTGGCACGGATCTGCCAAATAATTGCGCATGGAAGCTCCGAAGGGGCAAAACGCCGCGCGGTCTTCCTCGCGCCCCTCGCGCTGTTTTTTTTTTTTTCCATATGCGTGCTCTTCTTCTCGAGCGGGGCTTCGCGCAGTCCATCTGGGTCCCTTGCGTGTTCCTTCGGTTCGAGAACGGTCACCTTCAGGGCGTCGTCGGCCTTGACGTGGATGACGCGCTTATGGCCGGCACAGAGGCATTCTGGAACGTAGTGGATTCTCTTCCTGGTTCCTCTTCAGTGGGGTAGCCGTTCGTCGGGTGATTTTGTGTTCTGTGGGCTACAGTTTACAGTCCGCATGCCGTATATCACACTAGACCAGAAGGCGCACTGCATGAATATATCCACGATCGCTGTTCCATCCCATCGCGCCCGTTGCCCAGATTCTCCAGTGACAGAGATCGAAAGGAACTCTCTTCGCAAGTGCCTCGGCGAACAGATCTGGACGTTGGACCAGACAGTGCCGACAGGATCGTTTCACGTAAGCGCAATAGCATCTAAAGTGCAGACTTCCACGGCTGCCACGCTGTTAGAGTGCAACAAAAACGCGCGACGCATCCGCAACGAACCTGTAGTGCTCAATTTTGGACCCATGTCGAAACATATTTGCGTATATTCGCATGGAGATTCGCCCAAAAGCAAGCCATCGCAGCGGGGAGTGGTCACCTTCATTGGAGAAATTCCATTGGGAAACATGCCTGTAGTCCGAGCGTGCTCATACCGATGGGCCTCCAAGAAACAAGAACGAACCTGCACGAGCACGTTGGCAACAGAAACGCTGGCTGGTGAGAAGGCTTTGGATGTGAACTTCGCGACGCGACGGCGCATTCAGGAAGCACTGAACCTTTCGGAACCACCTCTGGGAGTGCTGCTTTCTGATAGTTGGTCTCTTGTCACGAACATCTATTCGACTACACCACGCGTGTCTGAGGAGGATTTGATCCCTTCCCTGCAGCGCATTCGGGAAGCCACTGTTTCGTGGGTGCGTTTCCACAGCAGTAAAGTTTTCCTAACAGATTTGCGGTGGCAGCCGGATTCCGACATGGTCGCCCGCTTACGAAGCCAAACGCGAACCCCTCAAAATTGCTCTCTCCGATTCGATCGGATACCTTGTCGTTTACTTCAGCCTGCAAGCCTGCCTCCGCTCCTCCAGACACCATTAGCAGCACGGGTCCAGCTGGACCTTCGCGCTTGGGATTCCCGGCCGAGGGAACGGCGGATTTGGCGACTGCGATGGTAGCCACAGCCATCGGCGCACGTGCGCCCCACACGCCAGCGATTTGAGTCGTCCGGGGCAGGTCGAACGAGCTGTGAGCCTGGTTCGACAGCAGCTACATGCTCAGACCAAGGAAAGCATTCTTTCTGAGCGTTTGGTCGTCGACTCGGAGCTTCGGGCTGCAGGCGCACCAACAGTGCACGAGAAATCCAACGACCATCGTTACCGCAAAGACGTGGATTTGCGTGGTCATTGGATGTCAGCCAAGAAGCTCAGAGACAGGCAGTAGACCAAGAAGATGAGAGCACAGCTTGAAGTACAAGACCGGAAGAGAGCCGCTGAACAGAGAGCTGCCGCTTCGGTTGCGACGCCGGCTCTCTCTTCCGAGCCGCCGCCGGCGCCGCCGAAGACGTGGCCCAGGCTGTCTTCCGACATCAGTCTGACCGACAGTTCAGACGAGACGCTGAGCTGCGACGGCAACGACCGGGGCGACGTCCCAGCCGCCCAGATTGGCAACGACAGTGCCGACTGGGAGGACAAGGACCGCGATGGCAAGTTCGCAGTTTCCAAAGAGTGTCTTATTCTGCGTCTCTCTACTGACAGGCGGCTGAAACGCAACCCACCGCCAGCCGCTAGGCGGGCGAAGCGTGCCGAAGCCAGAGAAGCAAAGAAGGCTGCAAAGAAGGCCGCTGAAGCCGCAACGAGCACTGCCTGAGACTTTTCCCGCCTTTCCTGTAAAGCAAGAAGGATGGGGTTGACAACCGATCCCATCCATCTCAGTTATTATCTCATAGTGTTTCTTCTGTGTCTTCCAGTTCGCTTCCTTTCACTGCTTGCTCCCGCCGCCGCCATTTAGGGCCCTTGAGCCGCGCCGATCGGTTCCCCGAAAAGGCCGCGCCCGCCGGCCCTGCTGGGCGACTTCCGCCGGATGGGTTTCGCCTGGTTCATCCTCGCGATTGGCCCAGGCTGCTCGCGGACGCGAAGGGCATCATCGGCAAGGCCGTCACGTCCAAGTCCTGGGCCGCGCGCGGGTACTCGACGGCGCGGGGCTCCGACCGCGTCGCGGGCGTGGCGGCGGAGCGGCGGTTCGCCGAGGCCTACGTGGACGAGGGGCCCGCCTTGGGGGAGATCCAGACTGACGCGCCCGACTACGCGAGGAAGTCGAGCAGGCGCTGCGCGGCGAAGACCTCGCCTGTATGCGCGGCGCCCCCCGGTGACAGCCTCAGACCCTACGGCCGGCGGGCAGTTGCAGATCACGCAGGCCCTGTTCGGTGCACCGCTGGCCGCGGCGCTCTTCGCCAACTCGGCGGCCTCGGCCCCCGGGCCGCCCGGGCCGCCCGCGCAGCCGCGCGCGGAGCTGCGGCCCCCGAAGCCCAAGCTCCCGCCGCGCGAGGAGCCGCCTCAGCCTGGCAAGGCCGCGGCACCGCCTCAGCCTGATAAGGCGGCGGCGCCGCCAGCGCCAGCGGGCCCATCCGACGGGGAGGGCGCGCCCAGGAAGCTCCTCTCCACCGAAGCCAGGGCAGCCGCCGCAGCGCGGAAGCGCCCCGCCGCGGCAACTGAAGGCGCCGGGGACGCCGAGGAAGCCGACGACGACCAGGCACGTGCAGTGACAAAGAAGAAGGCGACGCCCGCTCCCATGCGGCGACCCGCAGCTGCCGCGCCGAAGAAGCCCACCGCGCTGCCCAAGCCGCCGACGAGCGAGCGCAGCACGCCGTACAGGCGCGGCTACGTGATCTACAA